CTTCCCTCCTGCTCTTTTTTTTGTTTTGTTTTTTGTTTTCCTGCATTGCGACCCCAAAAACAACGAGCGGCACCGCCGAACCGGGCCGCGACGGCGCCGTCCCCCCCGAAACGGGGCGGCCGGAGCGGGTCACAAACGGCTCCGGGGGCGTTTTCCAAAACAATAAACTTTTAATGCTAAAGCAGTTATAACCAAAAGCTGTACAGAGTTTTTTTTTCGTTTGTATTTTTTTGTTAGAAAACAATTTTTGTTTCTCCCCCATAAATATTGTTCAGTTCCCGGCACTTTGTATCAATAATTAAATTACGAACGATAAATATGGCATCATGATATGTATTTACAAAAAAAAAGTTATTACAAAAAGGCAACTGTTATACTAAACGTCACAATCTGGGTAGAATTGACACCACATCCTCATCCTGAAAAATACTGACCGACCCCATCAGACGAGAATACATTCACAAGTGTAATGCTTGGAGAGAGAGAAGGAGGAAGAGGAGGAGAGCAGAGAGAGAGAGGGGGGAGAGAGAGAGAGAAGCAGCAGGAGAGCTAGAGAGGAAAGTTCAAGACATAACAGGACTTTGGCACGGTTTAAGACTGTAAGTTTAAACAATCACCACTAAGGCGAAGGAGAATTTTCATCCTCATGTCAACATCCCACCGAAAGAAGGAAAAAATAAAACAATCGAATTAAAAATATTTTTTTAAAAAAAGAAGCGGAGAATCGGAGGAAGAAGAGGTGGGGTGGGAGAGGGAAATAAAAGAAACGACAGCGATTGTAAAAAATAAAATAAAATGACGACAACTGGGGAAAAAAATCCAATCCTGAGAAAAGGACATGGCTAGTCCAGCATCTGGGCTTGCGAAAAATAGTAATAATTATAATAGAATAATAAAAGCCCCCCTCCGGATGGCGGCGGGCGGCGCTCGGCTCGTCTGCTCCCGTCCGCTCGGTGCCGTGGGACTCGTAGCCCGAGCTGGCGGCGGGGGAAGAGTCCGAGCCCTGCGATTCGTGCACCTAAAAGCAACAGGCAGAGATGGGAGCGCGTCCCGGGCCGCGCCGGGGGGCTCCCCCGCGGCGGAGGCGCCCCGAGCACCTCCATTTACCTTCATGTGTTTCCTAAGCGAGCTGGGGTGGGTGTAGGACTTGTCGCACACCTTGCAGATGTAGGGCTTGTCCGAGGTGTGCACGTGCATGTGTTTCTTCCTGTCGCTGCTGTTGGCGAAGCGCCTGTCGCAGCCCTCGAACTCGCACTTGAAGGGCTTCTCACCTGCGAAAGGGACAGGCGGGCAAGGAGGGACGAGTCCCCCAAAACAAAAACGCGCGCGGCGAGGGCGCGCTGCGGGGCCGCCTTTGTTGCCGCTGCGACGGGGACGGGCTGCGGGGAGCCCCGAGAGGGAATCCGGCCTCGGGCTTTTGGTTTTCCAAAAAGCCCTGAACGAGAGGAGCCCAAACGCGTTCGTTTCCTGCCTCCCCGACGCACCCGCTCACTCAGCGCGGAGGGCTGCGCTGAACACAGAGCTGCGAATAAAAATACTTGGCCGAAAGTATCGCTTGCTTTAATTAGGAAAGGCAAAATACTTTGTATTTTAGGTTAAAAAAAAAACTTTGTAAAAAGTATCTCTTGCTTTAAAAAATAA